GGACCTTTCAGTCCGCAGACCGACGCTCTACCACTGAGCCAAACCGGTTTCGGCTCTTTTATAGTTTTTATGGCTACATCTTGTTCTCTTGTATAAATGGTATCATCACCCAAAGTTAACCTCTTGTTGCTGAACATTTTTTTATGTTTTCTGGACTTTTGCTATTATAATGAATCCTTTGTTGGTTGGTTTGCTAGAAAGCTGAGGAAAGGTTATGGTGTCCTTATAAGAGGAAGAAATTTGGACACCGGCAGTCACAGAGGGAAGACTCAGTAAAGACACAGGGAGGAGACAGACATTTACAAGCCAAGGAGAGAGAGAGGCCTCAAAAGAAACCAACCCGGCTGACACCTTCATCTCAGACTTCTGGCCTCCAGAATTATGAGAAAATAAAATTTTGTTGTTTAAGCCCCTTAGTCCAGGCTGGATTAGGACCCCCACCCTATGACCTCATTTTAATTTATCACCTCTTTAAGGGTCCTGTCTCCAAAAACAGTCACATCCTGAAATACTGGAGGTTAGGGCCTCAACATACGAGTTTTAGGGGAGACATGATTCCTGTGAAGAGAGTCATGTTAAGAGAAAACTTGAACATATAAAAAAAGAAGAGCCCTAGCTGGCTTGGCTCAGTGGATAGAGCGTTGGCCTTTGGACTGATGGGTCCCAGGTTCGATTCCAGTCAAGGGCACGGGCCTGGGTTGCAGGCTCAATCCCCTTGTGGGGGGCGTGCAGGAGGTAGCCAGTCGATGATTCTCATCATTGATGTTTCTATCTCTCTTCCTTCTTCTCTAAAATCAATAATATATATATTTTTTAAAAAAAGAAGAAAGTAATTTTTTTTTTTTTAATCTTCAACTGAGGACATGCAGAGAGAGAAACATTAATCTGCATATGCCCCAACCGGGAACCAAACCTGCAATCCAGGTATGTGCCTGACCTAAAATCAAACCAGCAACTTTTTGATGCTCAACCAACTGAGTCACTCCACTGGCAAGAAAATAAATTTCTGATAATCCTAATCATTGGGAAGGTGGACTTCCGTCCAGTATTTTTTATTTTTTTATTTTTTTCTGTGCATAATTACAAATACTGTACGTGCAATTCTACATTCTGCTTACTATTCTTACTTCATAGTGTAAGTCCTTCCCTAGATAACTTAAAGACTAATACATATCATTTTGCATAGTTGTTCAATAATTAATGGAGTTAGTGCCCCATATGTTATTTAACTCTTTTATTTTGCTGTTAATCCTCACCTGAGGATATTTTTCCATTGATTTTTAGGGAGAATGGAAGAGAGAGGGAAAGGCAGAGAGAAACACACATTAATTGGTTGCCTTTTGAACGGGGCTGGACCAGGGAGGAAGGAGAGAGAGATTTGTTGTTCTACTTATGCATTCATCGGTTGCTTCTTGAGTAGGGATCAAACCTGCAACCTTGGATGATGTTCTTAACCAACTGAGCTACCTGGCCAGGGCTAGATTATTTAACTCTTGCCCTATTTGAAAGGTGATGTAAATGTCATGCCTGGTCCTTTTAGCTCTAAAGCAGAGCAAAAAAATAACTCAAGATGAGACTACAAAGCTGTGCTGGAGGTAAAGGGCAGGTTTTCCCTGGAAATCTTGTGCCCCTGGGGCCCTCTGGAGCTGGATCAGGCCTGATCTCTCTTCCCCTTCCTCCCACTGGCCAGGCGTGTCACAACCCATGGCTCCTCAGTGGGAATGTCGTCAAGGAGGCAGGGCTGGTTTCTAAGCAATCTTCTCTTCCACCGGGCACATTCCATCCTTCCCCCAACGGGTCCTGCCTCTGTGTGTGCGCCTGGGAGCGGGCTCTGGGCTCGGGAGTGTGTGCTTTTAAATCCCCCTTTACACTTCCATCACTGACCCCTCTCCCCAGATTATGGCCAGTACGTTACTAACTTCCTTCACCTAGGTTAGCTTTGCCTGTTTTTGAACTTCATGTGAATGGAATCATGCATGTGTTCTCTGTTCAGTCTGGTTTCTATTAGGGAACCATATGTTTGTAAAATTCATCCAGAATGTCCTTATTGTGGATTCATTTCAGTATGTGAAAATACCATGACGTTTCTAGCCATTCTCCCTTGGTGGACATTTGGGCTGTTTCCAGTTTTTAGCTATTATAAACAGTGCTGCTGTGAACATTATAGTACACGCCTTTTGGTCAATCTGTTTTTGTTGAATCTATATCTTAGAGTGAATTGCTGGGTCTTGGGGAATGAGTATATTTAGCTTCAGTAAATACTGACCACCAGTTTCCCAAAATGGCTGTCCCATTTTATACTCGCATGTCGGGCTTCCACTTTTCTATTGAGCTCAAATTTGCATAAAAATTGACCATTTAAAAAACCATTAAAAAAAACAAAACAATTCAGTGATATTAAGTACATTCACAGTGTAGTGCAACCATCACCAGAACTTTTTCATCTTTGCAAACAGAAACTCTATATCCTAAGTACCTCATGTTAGCAGAACCGTACAGTATTTGTCCTTTTGCGACTGGCTTATTTTACTTAGCATAATGTTTTCAAGGTTCATTCATATGGTAGTGTGTATCAGAACTTTATTCTTTTTAAAAGCTGAATAATATTCTTTTGTATGTATAAACCACATTTTGTTAAATCTCTTGATGGACAGTAGTTGGATTATTTCTATCTTTTTGCTATTATGAATAATTTTGCTATGAAAATTTATATATGAATATTTGAATTTTTGGGTATGCACATAGAAGTGAAATTGCTGGATCATGTGGTAATTCTGTGTTTACCTTTTATATACATATATATATATATATATATATATATATTATTTTTTTTTTTACAGAGAGGAAGGGAGAGGGATAGAGAGTTAGAAACTCTCTACTGGATATGTGCTTGCAACCAAGACACATGCCCTTGACTGGAATCGAACCTGGGAACTTTGACTCAGTAGGCCAATCCACTGAGCCAAACTGGTTAGGGCCTATGTTTACATTTTGAGGAACCACTATTTCACATTCCAATGCATGTGGTTTCCAATTTATGTACATCTTGCCAACACTATCTTCCATTTGAGGGACAGGGGTGTTACACATTTGTAAAAATGTGTTGATTTTTAGAGACAGGAGTGGGGGGAGAGAGAGAGAGACAGATTTATTGTTCCACTTATATGCATTTATTGGTTGATTCTTTGTATGTGCTCTGACCAGAGATCAAACCGAACCTACAACCTTAGGGAATTGGATACTTGAACCAACTGACCTACCCTGCCTCCTGTATGTCCCCTACTGGGAATGAGGTTGCAAACTCAGGCATGGGCAAAGGACAGCAGCTCTGCCAACTAAGCCAAATAACCATCCTAGGGGGTGTGAAGTGGTACCTCATTGTGATTTTGATTTGGTCTCTCCTAATGACATTGAGTATCTTTTATATGCTTATTGACCCTTCCTTGTATATTGTGTTTAGAGAAATGTCCTTTCAAGTTTTTTGCCTGCTCAAGGGGCCAATTGTTGAGTTTTTAAGGAGTTCTTTTTTTTTTTTTTAATATATTTTATTGATTTTTATACAGAGAGGAAGGGAGAGAGATAGAGAGTTAGAAACATCGATGAGAGAGAGTCATCGATCAGCTGCCTCTTGCACACCCCCTACTGGGGATATGCCCGCAACTAAGGTACATGCCCTTGACCGGAATCGAACCCAGGACCTTTCAGTCCCCAAGCCGACGCTCTATCCACTGAGCCAAACCGGTCCCGGCTTAAGGAGTTCTTTATATTTTCTGGATATTAATCCTTTGGAATATTAATCCTTTTTATATTAAACTCTTTGAATATTTTGTCATGTTCACATTACTTTTGTACTTTACAAAATAAACCTCATCTGTTACCCATTCTTATACTAAGGAAGGATTTAAAATAAAAACAATCACCATCAACTGAGCCTAAAGGACAATTCTTCAAAAAAGGACAGTTGGAAGCCTCCCCCTGGCATTTCCACGGCCCGGCATGGTCCCATGGTCCTTTCCGTGCTGCTGCCCGGTGAAACGATGAGCACCGGGGTCTGGGCCGGCACCAAGGGCATCACTGGGCCAGAGCCTGGTGCTGATGGGCCCAACTGTGGCCTCTAGCAGGTTCCCTGATTCGACCACAGGAATCGCGTGTGAGAACGTTGGCTGTGAATAATATTTAGCTTGTTCTTTAGGGTCCGGCTGACCTGGCTTCTGAACATCAGTTTTCTTATCTTTGCAAAGAGGCTAACACCTACCTTGGTGGGGCAGATGTTAAGGATGAAATGGGCCCAGGCTCTGGCTTGGAGAATGATAGTTACTCACTCACAATGTTCATTTAAAAGGTGGCCGCGCAGGAGGGATCCAGAAGGAGTGTGACAGGCTGAGGTCTAGAGCAGCGGTCGCCAACTGGTGGCCCGTGGACCACTGGTGGTCCGTGAGGTCCAAAAGGATGGCGACCGATGGTCTAGAGCAGTGGTCGGCAAACCGCGGCTCTTTGGCCCCTTGCATGTGGTTCTTACACAAAATACCACATGCGGGCCCGTGTGTACAGTGTGATGGAAACTTCGTGGCCCATGCGCAGAAGTCGGTTTTTGGCCTGGGCGAGTCTATTTTGGAGAAGTGGCGTTAGAACACTCAAGGGGCCAAAGAGCTGCATGTGGCTCACGAGCCACGCTTTGCCGGGCTCTGATCTAGAGCAAGCTGTGTGAGCGATGTAGCAGGATGCATAGTGCGTGAAAGCCTCCTGCCTCCAGCTGTGACCTTGGCCTCCTCCCCATCCCCTATGTCTCACGAGGCCACTGGGTACTAATGTCACTCAATGCCTATGATCTTGGTTTTCTGGCCTGACGAAAGCCCCATCTGGTCACATTGCTGCTCAGAGGAGGCAAGCCGAGCCTCCTCCTGCAGTGGAACACGCCTTGATCCAATCGAGGGGCTGTTGTCTGGGGTAGCTTCCAGAAGTCTCTCCTTCCTAATCCTCTCTTTCTCCATTCTCCCCAGTTTTCATGGGCTGCCCTGGGCAAGAGTCAGCCCTGCTTAGCACTGATCACGATTTCACTGCACTGAACGACACAACAGCCCAGGTAAAATCATGTCCGCCCGTGTGTGAGGTGGGGAGTGGGTGAGGTGCATGCCCAGATTGCTGTTGTGAGCCACCTAGTCCCTTCAGAGGAGGCAGTGTGAGCCCTCAGCTGCCACAGTGTAGTCTTGCGGCTGCCCAGTAGGGGCAGCAGAGAGCTGCCTCGTGAGTAATGGTCCAATGCTCTTGTAACCTTGGATTCTTTCTCTCACCTCCCTTTTCTTTCCCATATCATCTGGGTAAACCCCAAAGGAAAGCAATTCCCACACAGAACTGCCAATCCCATGAGCTCCTGGGAAGATGGACATGAGGCACTTGGTCACACATTGTTTCTTTTAATTAGTTTTTTTTTTAATAGCTAAATAATATATACATGGTTCAAAAATAAAAAATACATATATTTAAAATTATGCAATGAATTACCTCCCCCTATTTTTCTTCATCTGCCTAATGCCCTCTCCACCCTCTTCCCACAGATAACCACCATTATTAGTTTCTTCTATGTTCCCCAGACTTTGTCTATAAATATGCAAATATGAAGGTATGGCCTTATTTTCTACCTTTTTACACAAAAGATGGAACAGTGCCTGGCATCTGCCTAGCACTATGTGTTTGTTAAATAAAATGCTTTTTGTTCTGTACCTTATTCTTTGCACTCAACAGTACATATCAAAGGTCTTTCCATGCAGCACAGAGAGAGCTTCCTTATTCCCCATTTTTAGAGCTGCATAGTACCCCCCTAGATGTATGTTCTGTAGGATTTTCCATTGGTCCTCTGGATCTTAGATTGTTCCAATTTTTCTTTTGCAGTAGACCATTCGGGTCTGTCTCCTGACCCTTACGTCCTGTAGGTGAGGATGGTGGGTGTGTCCCAGCTGTTTGCATATCTAGATTAAGGGGTCTTCTCTCCTTACAGGAAAGCAAGTCTCTGAGGATCTCCCCACCCAAACGTATCTTACGAAGACGCAAGAGAGAATGGGTGTTCCCACCGCTGTCTGTCCCTGAGAATGGCAAGGGCCCCTTCCCTCAGCGGCTGAATCAGGTATGACTGTGCTTCTCCCTGGGAGTCCTTGGTGGCTGCAGGGACCCTTGCCTAAAGGCCTGAATAAAGGCTTCCTGGTGCTGAGCATGGGGGCCTGCAGAGGAAAGCCTCTCTTGTGGCACCAGTTTCTGAGATATTGATCCCTTTGTCAGCTGTCATTTTTTTAAAAAATTTTTTTTAATTTTGCTTCCAGCTCAAATCTAGTAAGGACAGAGGCACCAAGATCTTCTACAGCATCACAGGGCCTGGGGCAGACAGTCCCCCTGAGGGTATCTTCACCATAGAGAAGGAAACAGGCTGGCTGTTACTGAATAAGCCATTGGACCGGGAGAAGATTGCCAAGTATGAGGCAAGTAACCTTTAGCATCCAATGAGAAGCAGGGCCCCAGGGCCTGGTGGGAAGGGCGGCGCCGAGCTGACCCCAGACCTGTGCGCCCGCAGCTCTTCGGCCATGCCGTGTCAGAGAACGGCGCCTCCGTGGAAGAGCCCATGAACATCTCCATCATCGTGACAGACCAGAATGACCACAAGCCCAAGTTCACCCAGGATGTCTTCAAAGGGAGCGTCTTGGAGGGAGCACTGCCCGGTAAGAGGGTTGGGGAGGGGATAGCTATAGAGGACTATGGCCTTGGGTCAACTTATGGTACCGTCTAGAGATCAGCTCAGACCCTTAAGGTTGGAAGGACACTCTACCTGACTTCCTTGGCTGTGCAACAGATCACCTGGGATCTTCTTTAAAATCCAGATTCTCCTACTCCATCCCAAGATCCCTGAGGAAGAGTGATCCTGGATCTGTATATATGAAAATCTGCATAAATGAAAATTTCCCGGAAGCCTCAGATGATTAACCAGGTTTAGGAACCACTAGCTTTGGAGCTACGACGACTAGATTTGCATCTTGATCTTGCCTCTACCTGTTGTGACCCTAGGCAAGTTCTTAACCTCTGAGCCTTAATACTCACATCTGAAAATGGCAATAATATCAATCTTAGAGGATTCTGAAGGTTAGAGAGAATACACCCACCCAGCTTATGTAATATGAAGCGCCTGACACGAGAGTCTGCTGTGAATGGCAGCAGCAGAAAAGCAGTGGAGGCCAGGAGGTTCTGGAGCATGGCTTATGCTGAGGGGAAAATGAACTCCCAGGGCTGGAGAAGAGGGTGGGAGGGGCCAGCAGGGAACTAGGAAAATAGGTTCATATTAATGCTCTCAAAGACGGGCCTGCTGGGAAGGGTTCCTCTTCCTTCCTCTCCGAATTGTGGACAATCCATACAGAGAAGTATAAATTGGTTAGACTGCCAATAACAGAAATTCCCAAAAGAAATGCAGTACCTTAAACAAGATGGAGAATCCCCTCTCCTTCCCCCCTTTTATTTAAAGCCTACAGGTGGCCAGCTCAGTCTGGAATGGTATTGTCCAGTTGGAGGCCTAGATCCTCTCCCTTTGCTCTGCTGTTTCGGCATGGTTCCCGAGGTTGTCTCACGGTTGCTGCTGGAGCTCCAGCCATTCTACCTGGGACGAGGGGAAGGGGGGGAAGAATAAACCCAAGCTCGGGTTAAACACGCCCCCCAAAGTCGTAAATTCCATTTGTCAGAATGTAGAGTTGCAGTCACACTAGCTGAAGAAGGGATGGGAAAGTCTTTGTTCCAGGTAAGCCTGTGCCCAGCCGAAAGTGATTATGGAGGATTATGTCTCTAAGTGAAAAGGGAGCGGGGAGAAGGGGAGAATGGAAAATGGGCCCCCATTAGCGATCTCTGCCAGAAAGTGGAATGTGGGTCTAAGCTGCTGAGCCGGAAGGGGGCTCACTCATCTTCTCTCCCCTCCAGGTACCTCTGTGATGCAGGTGACAGCCACCGATGAGGACGATGCCGTCAACACCTACAATGGGGTGATTGCCTACTCCATCCATAGCCAGGAGCCAAAGGACCCTCCTAACATGTTCACCATCCACCGGAGCACAGGCACCATCGGCGTCATCGCCAGTGGCCTGGACCGGGAGGTGAGTGGCCCTGAGGCAGAGTGCTGCCTGCCCAGGCTGGTCCAGACACTCAGAGCAGGAGCCCTGCCCCCAAAGCCCAGGATGGAGCAGCGGGGACCACGTCAGCTGGCAGCGGTTGCTGCTCCGTTCCTATGCTGGTGTCCCTCAGCTCATTGGGCCAGTGGCATGCCGCCAAACCATCTTGTCGAGGCTGAGGAGGCAGCCATAAAATGCAGACATTTGATATTTTCCTTAGGTTTTCTCATTTCCTCTCGGAACGGCTCACTTAGCGTGCACACGGCCCAGATTTGTCCCCTGTGGACCACAAAGCAGAATTAGCTCCTTGGATAACGGAGTTGCCTCCTGATTCCTGATTAATTCCTCTGACCAAATCCCTGCTCAAAGCTCTCACATCTACATCTGCCCAGGGTCAAGGGGCAATGCCCAGGCTTCAGCCCCCTGCAGGCCCCCGGATGCCGCTTGTATGGCCAGTTTCCCTCCCCTTCCACCCTTTGCTCCTGTTCTTTTGGGTGGTGGGTCGAGGAGTCGAGGGAACACTGTCGGAGGGAGAAACATTCTGCGGCCCTCCGCCGCCTTCTCCCAAGGCTGCGCTCTCAGGGGCCTGCACTCTCCTCTCCTCCCCAGAAAGTCCCTCAGTACACGCTGACCGTCCAGGCCACCGACCTGGACGGCGAAGGCTCCACCACCACGGCGGTGGCCATCGTGGAAGTCCTCGACGCCAATGACAACGCTCCCGTGTTTAATCCCCAGAAGGTAATGTCCCTTCCTCCCTCCCTATCTTCCTTCCTTCCTTCCTTCCTTCCTCCCTCCCTCCCTCCCTCCCTCCCTCCCTCCCTCCCTCCCTCCCTCCCTCCCTTCCTTCCTTCCTTCCTTCCTTCCTTCCTTCCTTCCTTCCTTCCTTCCTTCCTTCCCGCATCAGAAATGAAGGCAAGGGGTTTCCTTTCTAATGAAATGCCAGAATCAGTTTATGTTGCTTCAATTCCAGCCCCGCCACCGACGAGCAGTGTGACCTCAGGCAAACTCCCTAACCTCTCTGTGCTCCATTTCCTAATCTGAGAAATGGGGATCATGACAATACCCGCTGCATTGTTCTGAGTTTTAAATAATCTGTGTAAAACACAACCCCCGGTGTATGAAAATCTTTGTTGATAAGAACACTTCTATTAATTTACCCGTCCACACAGTGAATGCTTGTGCATTCCAGTGACAGACGATACCTAACCCCTTTCTATCTTGAGGCAGCTTTGGCTGCCAACATTACCTAAGGCTGATTAAAATTTGTTCTGAGCAGTTGACTTCTTAGTCTTTGTCATCTGTTCTAGAACTTCCAAAAAGATCCCGGTCCTTGTCCCAGAGCACTTATGCCTTCCTGCTCTCAACTACATGGGTGGTTACACTTGGAGGGGGTTGGGCACCCAGACCGGTGAGATTCCTGGAGTATCAGGCCCCCGGGTATAGGGAAAGCAGGCCCGAGATTGCCATGGTCTGACCCAGCAGCTGGGAGGCCGGCTCTCGGGGCATGCTGCCTCTCGGTGTGCCCCGGAACCCTGGTGACTGAGTCGGGTGGTCCCAGAAAGGGTAGGAGGCGTGAGGCCTCCCCAGACCTGGATGGAGGATTCACAGCAGGAGCAGAATGGAACAGCCTCTCTGAGTGTCGGAATCTGCTCTGACTGCTGTACTTCCCACTGACAGTATGAGGCTCGTGTGCCCGAGAACGCGGTGGGCCATGAGGCCCAGAGGCTGACAGTGACTGATCTGGACGCCCCCAACTCACCGGCATGGCGTGCCACCTACCGCATCTTGGATGGTGACAGTGGGGACCATTTTACCATCACCACCGACCCTGAGAGCAACCAGGGTATCCTGACAACCAAGAAGGTGAGTCCGTTTGGGCGTTAGACCAGGGTCACACCGGGGACAGTCAGGTCTGCAGCTTCGAGGTGACACCTGCCTGGGGTCACGTGCCTTGGACCCTTCTTTTGTCAGAGTGCGCACCAGGCCAGTGGCTTCCGACACGCTCCCATCCCTTTTCTGTGGCGGAATTCCTTCTTTCACACTAAATCTTAACCAGGGACCAAATCAAATCGAAGCAGTCAGTGGAGCCCCTCCACTCATGTCCCAGTGTCCATTGGCTGTCCTCAGTCAGTCTCTGTCTTATTAGAATTCTTGCTAATTTCGCACTTAATCCATATCTAGGTGATTGGGTAGTAACATGTTCTAAATTACTTAGTAGTTTGCTATCTTTACTATACTATATAAATAAAATGGGTGCTTTAGGGAGATGGGACTGATTTTTCTTTTATTTCTTTTGTATCTCTGTAGAATTATTCAAATGTAGTGAATATTGGCTCATTCAAGCAGCTCACAACACAAGTGGTATTAATGTTTTTTCCCAGAACAACAAATAAACAACTCTCGGGAAAGGCCTGAACAAATCAAATTACAATTCCCCCTCAGAAGTTCCATTCCTAGAAAATTCAGTATATATTCAAACCACACCAAAAAGCGTGTGTTTTGTTTTTTTACGTAAAACATATCCTAGATTGCAATTGTAAACAGATTTCTCACACCTAGGAATACACAAATGTCCAGCGGAATGTTGTCAAGTCACATGGACATGGGACAGTTCTTTGTGCCCCTGCCTCAGCCTGTCAGTACCAGTGGTATCCCCAGTCATTATGACAGAGAGAAATGCCTTCACGAGTTTCTACGGTGCCTGCGAGGGGGCGGCACCACCCCATAGGGGACCAGTTCTGGGGCTCACCAGTCTGGTTGCCTTTGGGGCGGTGGGGTGGTCTGAGAGGCCCCTCTAGCTGCCACTCAGGAAATGCCGGTGGCTTTATGGGTAGAGAAGAGGCAGTGGGGTGGGCCCTTCCTTCTGACATCCCAGCTCGGCATGGGGCCTCCTCATAAAATGGCAGCTCAGGTCCTCCTTCTTCCCTCTCAGGGCTTGGATTTTGAGGCCCAAACCCAGCACACACTGTACATTGAAGTGACCAACGAAGCCCCCTTTGCGGTGAAGCTCCCGACCTCCACGGCCACCGTGGTGGTCCACGTGGAGGATGTGAACGAGGCACCCGAGTTCGTCCCGCCCTCCAATGCCGTTGAGGTCCAGGAGGACATCTCTGCTGGGGAGCCGGTCTGCACCTACACTGCGCAGGACCCGGACAGGGGGAGTCAGAGGGTCAGGTATGCAGCCGCTGGGCTCACGTTCCTCCAGACGCGCCGGGAGTTGTTCGTTCTCATTGCCGGAAAAGTTGCAAAATATTTTGAACCTTCTGGATGGTTGTTTGTTACGGCCAGTATTCGTTCTCATTGCTGTAAAGATTGTGAAATATTTTGCCCCACCCGCGTGGCTCAGTGGTTGAGCATCATCTTATGAACCAGGAAGTCATGGTTCGATTCCTGGTCGGGTTGCGGGCTCAATCCCCAGTGTGGGGCATGCAGGAGGCAGCCAATCAATGATTCTCATCATTGATGTTTTTCTCCCTCCCTCTCTGAAATTGAAAAACAAAACAAAACAAAACACACAAAAACACCAAACAAACAAAAAAACAACTGTGAAATATTTTGAACCTTCTGGACAGTTGTTTATTATGGCCAGTATTTGTTGTTATTGCCGTAAAGATTGTGAAATATTTTAAGTCTTCCGGACAGTTGTTTATTAAGGCCGGTATTTGTTGTTATTGCCGTAAAGATTGTGAAATATTTTGAACCTTTTGGACAGTTGTTTATTATGGCCAGTATTAGTTGTCATTGCCCTAAAGATTGTTAAGTATTTTGAACCTTCTGGATGGCTGTTTATTATGGCCAGTATTTGTTCTTATCACCGTAAAGATGGCAAAATATTTTAAACATCTCCCTGCTCCTCTTCCCATCCTCCCCAAGGCTAAAGACTCTGGGCAGGGTTCCTGCTCCTTCTCACATATCCTTGCTGGCCCCCTACCTGTTGCTCAGGTTTCTATTTAGGGAAGGCCCCAAGTGCCTTCTCCACACTATCCTGGACCCCTATGTCCAGGACCCCTGCGTCCCAGGACACCGTCTGCTAGTTGGCATGAGGACGCTTTGAATGATGACACCAGAATTCTGAGTGTTCTGTGTGTGACTCTTCTCTCGACTTTTCCACTCCAGCTACCACATCCTGAGAGACCCAGCGGGGTGGCTGGCGATGGATCCGGACAGCGGGCAGGTCACTGCTGCGGGAGTCCTGGACCGCGAGGATGAGCGGTTTGTGAGGAACAACATCTACGAAGTCATGGTCTTGGCCACGGACGATGGTGAGAGCTTCCTCCCAGCCCCTCCTCATGGGCACCTATGGTTCCAGGTCACATGACACAGCATGACCCCTCCATAGGGGGCGTATGGTGTGTGTGTGTGTGTCAGGGGGTGTTAGCAAGGGGTCCTTCAGAGGAGTGTTTTGAAGACTGGTCCTTGGGTGGCTGGCCATGGTTCTGATTTCCCTGAAACCTGAGTTAGGAGATATCCCGAAGCCTAAGTTTGTGGTTCACTAATCCCTGATTGGCCTGTCCGTGTCCCCTGGATTAATGGAGAGGGGCTGCCTGGAAGTGCCATGCTTGATCAGCGATGGCAGGGTGGGGGTTATGATGCGATTGTCATCTCTGTGTGACACACAGAGAGTAAATGGAGGCCTGGGGCAGGTGAGAGGTCTGTGAGGGGAAGCGGCATTAGCCCGGAGGTGGCCGTAGGTTTTGCTTTGTGACGGAATGCTGATGGCTGTCTGGATGAAGTGGCTGCATTTCTACGCTGCGGTCAGTTAGGAATATCTGCTGTGGGCACAAAAGGAGAATGCTGGCTCATGGCCTTGTGTCCGCCATCGCTGGTTTGAGCTACAGTGAAGCTAGTGTATGGAGGGTCTTCAGAGGCTACAGCCGGGCAGTGGCAGGACCCCTCCCTGAGGCTAACTAGGTCAGCAAACTGCGACTCTCGAGCCACATGCGGCTCTTTGGCCCCTTGAGTGTGGCTCTTCCACAAAATACCACGGCCTGGGTGAGTCTGTTTGGAAGAAGTGGTGTTAGAAGAAGTTTAAAAAATGTGGCTCTCAAAAGAAACTTCAATCGTTGTACTGTTGCTATTTGGCTCTGCTGACTATTGAGTTTGCCGACCCCTGGGGTAGGTCATAGGGGAGCTTCACATTGATTCACCAACCCAACCAAGGGCACATGCTGAGAAGGATCATACGTGTCATTATGAACAGGGAGCCCTCCCGCCACTGGCACGGGGACCCTCCTGCTAACACTGGTGGACGTCAACGACCACGGCCCTGTCCCTGAGCCCCGTCAGATCACCATCTGCAACCAGAGCCCCGTGCCCCAAGTGCTGAACATCACGGACAAGGACCAGTCCCCACACACCTCCCCTTTCAAGGCCCAGCTCGCACAGGACTCGGACATCTACTGGACGGCCAAGGTCACTGAGCAAGGTAACGGAGTGAGGGTGGCAGGCAGGTGCCAGCTCTGCTGGGTGGGCTTGCCCCGTACCAGGACCCTGCACACACGCCCACGGAGCCTCCTGTGGGCCACAGAGAAATAGTCTCGAGAACATCAATCCAAGGCTAATGATTGACCTATCAGGAGCCTTTGGAATTCCACAGGAGCCCTACAGACCATTTATCTCTGACTTCCTTCCTGAGTAGATTGAAAAACAAGCCAGCGGGGGCGGGGGTGACTTTCTCCATGTCACGTGAGTCAGGGTCCCAATGCCGTGATAACAGCTAAAGAGCACTGAGCGTGCTTACTCGGTGCTAAACACCACTTCAAATGCTTTACGTAGATTAGATTTTTAAATCCTCACAACAATCCTGTGAAGAGGGTACTAATACCACATACACACATGTGCACACCCATTTTACAGATGAGGAGACCAAGGCTTACAGAAGTTTAAATACCTTGCTAGAGGCTCTATGGCTAGAAATTGATGGCACCAGGGTTTGAATCAGGCAGTCTGATTTACCCTAAACCTCTGCTGCCTCCCATCTATTGAACCCTGGTGATATGCAAGATGGTTTTTCTCTTTTTCCTCATTTAATATTTCTACCACCTCTGTGGTCAGTATTTTTTCTCCCTATTTACAGATGAGAGTGAGACTCAGAGAGGCTAAATAGCATGCCCAAGGGCCCAGAGTGAGTGAGCAATAGAGATTGAAGCCTGAGTCCCCGCCCCCCCCTCCCCCTGCACCCATCCGCCTCTGTCCTTTCTCTCTCTGACATCCCTGTAGCTTCTCGGCCTTCAGTAGTATTTTATTTGCCATAGGCATGGAGAGGGGCTTCACTAGTATTTTTTTAAAAATATATTTTATTGACTTTTTTCACAGAGAGGAAGAGAGAGGGATGGAGAGTTAGAAACATCGATGAGAGAGAATCATCAACCAGCTGCCTCTTGCACACCCCCTACTGGGGATGTGCCCGCATCCAAGGTACATGCCCTTGACCAGAATTGAACCCAGGACCTTTCAGTCTGCAGGCCGACGCTCTATCCACTGAGCCAAACCGGTCCCGGCAGGCTTCACTAGTATTAAATGGGTGGTGACCCCGCGTGCATGAGGGAGGAGGATCCAGCCTCAGGTGCCAACAAGGGCCCTGGAGAAACATTCACCACTTTCCCCTTTTCTTTTTTTTAAGGTTTCAGTATTTTTTAAAATACTTTTTTTTTCATTAATTTTTTTAGAGAGAGCAAAAGGAAAGGGAGAGAGAGAGAAACATTAATGTGAGAAACATCTATCGTTTGCCTCCCACATGCTCAGGGATTAAACGCAAAACCTGTGTATGTACCCTGACCCGGAATCAAACCGTCAGCTTTTTGGTGTCTGAGACAACACTCAACCAATTGACCACCCTGGCCAGGGTCTGCATCACTCTCGTAAAATGTTCTCTTCTCGCCTGGCCGGCATGGTCAGCGGTTAAGCAATAACCTAAGAACCAGGAAGTCATGGTTTGATTCCCAGTCAGGCACATTTCCAGGTTGTGGGCTCGATCCCCAGTATTGTGGAGTATGCAGGAGGCAGCCGGTCAATGATTCTTTCTCATCTTTGTTGTTCCTGTTTCTCTCTCCCTCTCTCCTCTCTGAAATCAAGAAAGAAAGTATATTTTAAAAAATGTCCTCCTCTCCCTCTTGGGGCCAAGATCCCCCAGGAGAGAAGTCGGTCCTCCGGTGTCTGGGAACTGGTACTTCAGGCTCTGCCTTCTGCTCCAATGAAACCAGATGCCCAGGGTCCATCTCTGCTGCTGATCCCAATGCAGAGAGGACTGCCTACCTGCTTCAGACGCCCACATTGGCTCATTTTTAAAAAATATATATATACTTTATTGATTTCTTAAAGAGAGGAAGAGAGAGGGGCAGAGAGTTAGAAACATCGATGAGAGAGAGAATCATCGATCAGCTGCCTTTTGCACACCCCCTAATGGGGATGTGCCTACAACCAAGGTACTACCCCTGACTGGAATCGAATCCGGGATCTTTCAGTCCGCAGGCCAACGCTCTATCCACTGAGCCAAACCAGTTTTGGCCACATTGCCTCATTTTTGTGATTCCTGTGATTTGGAAGTATATACCCAGCACCTTCCCTTTGGGGAGCCCAAATTGGTCTCCTGTCACCCCCTTGTGGCCTAGAAGACATTTTCCCCTTCCTGACCTGACCATGTTGTTTAGAGAATGTGGACTCTGAAGCCACAAGGCCCTGGTCCCAGACCTGACTCCTCCATTTACTAGCTTTGTGATTGTGGGCAAGTTACTAAGCCTCGCTTCCCCTATCTGTAAAATGGTGCCAGTCACTGAACCTGCTTCTCCCGTTACGCTGGAAGTTGAGTAAGTGGCTACGTGGAAAGCATCTTGTCTGGCACGTCGGAGCTCAGTAGATGCCCACGGCTGTTTTCACCACCATGACTTCCCAACAGATCTGCTCTGGCTCTGTCAGGTGTGAGCATTATGGTCAAAGCCCACCCAACGCTACCAGCACCTGATAACGGTATTAATACCTGGTTCTTGGTTTTAACTTAGTTTTTTGACCCGATCTTGTCCCCATTGTCAGGGCAATTAACTCAGATGTGACCCAATGTGACCTCGAGCTGGTTACTCGACCTCCCTAAGCTTCAGTCCCTGCATTTGTCCAAGGGGGATAGCAATACCTGCCTCCAAGTTACAGTGAAGATTAGAGCTGGGCTTGGTACATAGTAAGTGTCAACTTAATCACCACGGCCACCAGCACCGCCGCTGCCATCAACGGAGAAATCGGCCCTCCGGGAACAGCATGGGGATAGAGGTGTTTGTGAAATATCCCACACTGGCCCCTCTACACGGCAGACCAGACGTTCAGCCTGCAGAACTCACCCTGCCACTGCCAAATGGGCACTGGGTGATTCTCCCTTCCGGCCTTCTTACTAAGAGGGGCCCACTGAGTGTGCAGAGACTCTGCACTGAACATGGCTGGAGGTCAGTGCTGACATAGGCCAGCACACCTAAGGGCAGGTGAGCTGGAAATGTGGGGCTGTTTCTTATTGTCCCAAAGATTGGGAAATACCATGGCAGTGAGTGGTGAGGATCTGTCCTGCTTGGGGAAGTCCTGCATGATGGAAAATAGTCCCACTCAAGCTTAAGTAGCTCTCTCCCCGAGAAACTTGCCTCTAAACTGAAGATCTTTTCTCAGAGATGCCCCTGACTGTATTTCTCACCTGCAAACATTAGCCTCTCTCCACACGCTAGGATTGCCCCACAGTCTCCCCAGAATAATGCCCCTTCTGCAGGCTGCACTGAGCTCTGTGGTTAGCCTGCCACCCACCTTGGGCTTTTGGAGGCCAGTTAGCTCAGTGCCCATTGCAGCCTTATTTCCAGCAACCCTGACTTGTGTGCAGTTATAACACAGATTAGGGTCCTCTCTGATCTGCGTAACGACATGTTATGTCACCAAGTCGTGTGCATTTGAATTTATTAATAATCAATGCTCACTTGGGAATATCAGTGTGTGGGATATTTAAATGCTATCATAAAGTTGGGGTGTAAACATTGTGTTTGCAAGAGCAAAATGCAGTAGTAAATGGTGATGAACTTTCAAATAGGAAAACCAGTGGCCAGTTAACTTGACTATTAAAATATTAGGTTAGCCCTGGCCTGGTGGCTCAGTTGGTTGGAGCACCATCCTGTACACCAAAAGGTTGTGGGTTCAATTCCAAGTCAGGGTACATACCTAGGGTGTATGTTCAATCCCCGATCAGGGTGCATATGGAAGCAACCAGTCTAAGTTTTTCATGTCGATGTTTCTCTTACTCTTTCTTCCTCTCTCTCTCAAAATCAATTTTAAATATATCCTCAGGTGATGATGAAAAAAGAAAGCATGAGGTTAGCTGTCTCCTGAGAAGAACAGTGTTGTTTTTGAGGCAAAGAACAGTCTATAGCAGTCGCCAACCTTTCAGATCTCATGGACCACCGCTTGGCGACTGCTGGTCTAGTAGCTAATGGTGCTAAGAAATGCCTGGCTCTGCATGACAAAACTTTTAAAAAATATATTTTAAAAATACTGTGATTATTGTGTGTGTGTTTTAATGTAAGTTGTTTTTGTTTCTTTCCTGCCCCAATAATCCTTACCATGATGGTGAATTTGGCTTTGGCCAAATTTTAAAGATATTTTATTGACTTTCAGAGAGAGAGAGGGAGAGAGAGAAACTTCCATATGAGAGCGAACATCCTAAATATTGACCAGCTGCCTCTCGCACACTCCCCATGGGAGATGGAGCCCACAACCCAGGCGTGTGCCTTGACCAGAAATTGAACCAGCAACCTTTTGATACATGGGATTTCACCCAACTGAACTCTACTGGCCTGGGCCAGATACCAATTTTTAACACTTGGTCAGAGTGTGCTTTTGGGATATTTTTCCTTGTCACCCAGATATAGAGAGGCTCCTGCCTCAAACCTCCATCATCATATGCTCTGTTCCATTCATGGTTTCCCGAGGTGAATCGATTGTCTGTCCACTCCAGGAGATGCAGTGGCCTTGTCACTGAAGAAGTTCCTAAAGCAAGACACCTACGACGTGCACCTTTCTCTGTCCGACCGCGGCAACAAGCAACAGCTGGCAGTGATCAAGGCCACCGTGTGTGACTGCCTGGGCCACGCGGAGAAGTCCTGCCCCGAACGCTGGAAGGGGGGGTTCCTCCTGCTCCCCATCCTGGGGGCCATCCTGGCTCTGCTGTGTGAGTACCGGTGCCTTTCCCCCTCTAAGGATGGGGTTGTAGAAAACCTGATTCTACACTGAACTCCTGGGACTAAGGGCCACCAGCATTGCCCATCTCTTCCTTACGCTCTGAATTCCAGGAGTGTCATTCAGTCAGTAGAAGAGTAACATCAGCTAGAAGAATCCCATCCCTACAAAGGAGAATTTCCTAAGACCAATACCCTTAATAAGGGAAGGCTGACAATAAATGGATACAGAATTATAGATGGGGATGAAGTCACAGTGCTGCCAGGGGGAGGTGACCTTGAGCTGAGACCTGAAGGGCGAGAGCCATGCAGGTGCATAGAGTGTTCCAGGCAAAGGGAAAGCCCAGAGGAAGGTTCTGAGTGGGGACCCGCTGGGTATAGTTAAGGAACTCCGAGGAGGCCACTGAGACTAGACCTGGGCCGAGGAGAAGGAGGGATGGGAACAGGCCAGGGCCAAATCCTGTGCACCTTGCTGAGTTACAGGTGTTCCTGGGTGCAAGGGAGTGACTGAAGTGTGTTAAGCTCTGGCTACTGAGTGGAGAGACCTAAAAGTAGATGGGGCTCTGAGAGTTTGGGGGTCCTGTGTGGTTGCGGGTAGGGGGGTGAATATTCACACTTCCCCGCCCTTCCAGTCCTCCTGGTACTGCTCCTCTTGCTGGTGAGAAAGAAGCAGAAGGTCAAGGAACCCCTCCTGCTCCCAGAAGACGACACCCGTGACAACGTCTTCTACTATGGCGAGGAGGGCGGCGGCGAGGAGGACCAGGTGGGGCGTTGGGAGGCCTGGGGAGTGGGGTGGTTAAGTCAGCCAGCTAACCATGTTACTCAGCTACATTGACCAGGCCCTGGCCTGACATTGGTAACATCTCTGGCCATACAAAATTATCAACTTCAAAATTAGCCTGGTATATCTGGTCAGACATTTAATTAACTCACTCCTCACACCTCTGCAGGACCAGACCAAATGACTGGACGTTCCCCACCCCTGGCCTAAAACATTAAATCTTCATGCAGGACCGACCACCAACTCCTCTTCTGAGAGGATATCGGGTCCATTGCTATAGTCTTTTTGGCCCTGGTCAAGGTGACCTTCAGCCTGCACTTAATATGAGAGAGGGGACGTGGAGGCTAGGGCTTTCAGAAAGCACAGACATTTCTGTCTTCTAAGACCTACCCATGGCCCTGACTGGTTTGGCTCAGTGGATGGAGCATCGGCCTGCAGACTCAAGGGTCCTAGGTTCGATTCCGGTCAAGAGTATATACCTTGGTTTCAGGCACATTCCCAGTAGGGGGTGTGCAGGAGGCAGCTGATCAGTGTTTCTCTCTCATCGATGTTTCTGACTCTCTCTCCCTCTCCCTTATTCTCTGTGAAGGATCAATAAAATATATTTTTTTTAAAAACCAAAAGACCTACCCATGAACCAGAACATCCAACTGGGAGCAAAATGGGGTGAAATGTAGATGGTGGGGGAGCAGGAGAGTCCTTCTCAATCTCATGCTCTCCTTTCTCAAAGGACTATGACATCACCCAACTCCACCGGGGTCTGGAGGCCCGGCCCAAGGTTGTTCTCCGCAACGATGTGGCGCCAGCCTTTATCCCCACACCCATGTACCGGCAGCGACCCGCCAACCCTGATGAAATCGGCAACTTCATCACCGAGGTGAGGCATGGGGGCAGCCTAGGGCAGCCTTATACTCAGGCTCCAGTGGCACAGGGGAAAGAGCATGGCCAGAGTCGAGGCTCTTGGTTCAAATCCTGCCTTCACCACCAACCAGTTGTGTGACCTCTTTGGTACCTTTGAGTAACTTCTGGGCTTCTATTTCCTGCTTTATGAAACCCTAGCTTGCAGGGTGGTAAAGAATGGATTAGGAATAATTTATTCAACAAATACAGGGTGGGGCAAAAGTTGGTTAATGGTTTGAGTACACAAAATAGTTTATTCTTATATTATTAATTACTAGAGGCCCGGTGCACAAAATTTGTGCACTGGGTGGGGGAGGGGGGCATCCCCCCCTCAGCCCTGCCTGCACCCTCTGACAGTCTGGGAGCCCTGGGGGATGTCCTACTGATGGCTTAGGCCCGCTTCTGCCTCTGCCACTGTGCTTGCCCAGCTACAGGCTAAGCAGCACTCCCCCTGTAGGAGCACTCTGACCACTAGGGGGCAGCTCCTGCATTGAGCATCTACCCTGTGGTGGTCAGTGTGTGTCAGCTTTGAGCCGAAACTGGCTCTCTGACATCCCCCAGGGGTTCCGGATTGCAAGAGGGCACAGGTCAGGCTGAGGGACCACACCCATGCATGATCAGGGTCAGGGAGGGATGTGGGAGGTTGACAAGCTTGGAAGGGACTGCGGAAAGGCTCCAAAGGGTGTCCAGCCCATCTCACTTGGTCCTGATCAGCTGGACCCCTACCAGGAGGAACATCAGAGCATCTGCCCCCTGGTGGTCAGTGCACATCAGAGCGAGTGGTTGAGCAACCTTAGCATATCATTAGTATGTTGGTTGAACAGCCAACTAGATGACCGTACACTTAGCATATTGGGCTTTTATTATATAGGATTATATTATTTTTCATATGAACAACTGTAAGCCTACTTTTGCCCTATCCTGTATAGTGGTTGGTAGGAAAAAAACTCTGGAGCCAGAGAACCTGGGTTTGGATTCCTAAAGGTGACAGGAGGTCCTGGTATGGAGTGGGGTTGGGACCTGTGTTACAGGTTGCTTTAAGGATTAGATGCATAAGCACCTGAAACAGTGCTAGCATGGCGGCTCCCAAACTGCCCTCCCATTGCAATCTCCTGGGGATGTCAAAAATGGATGCCTCAGACTCACTCCACCCCCCAAGGTTGTGATTTAACTGCCCCGGATAATACCTGGGCGTTGAGATGTTTTAAAGGCTCCCAGGTAATTTAAGTTTGGGAACCACTGGCCGGGCACTCAGTACTATTGTTGCTAGTACTGAGTGCCTCCAGTGTTCTTAACTCTAGTCACACATTTGAAGAATTTTGAAAAATATCAATGCCAGGGACACAGGTATCTGTTTTTATAGGCTCTGATAGTTTTTGCTCTCAGGATTGTAAGAACCACTGAACTAGGTACATAGGAGGTAGATGATATGAGCCTGGTACCACCGTAACAATCAGTAAATGGAGGTTTTAAATAGGAAGGGTGGGTGGGTGGGTTCGTGGATTGGGGAGTTTGAGGAAGTAGCAGTGGGCAAAGGGCTTGGGGGCGGTCAGGTACCTCACCCTGGCTTTGCTCCCTTCTGGCTCAGTCTTCTCGTCCGCATAAAAGGCAGCTACACGTTTTGCTTTGTGGGAGGAGCCTGAGCATGTTTGAGAGTGCCGTGCTAAAACAAAAGCGTCTGGGGGGAAAATACGTGGAGTGGTGGGTTTGAGAAGATACCTCAGAGCTAAATATCTGCAGCTTTTCCCTCCAATAGATTAAGTCGGTTTCTAGAATTTCTCTGTGCGTTGGACAGTTAGCAAATAGTATCTCCTTTAACCCTCTTACGACAACTCTGTAGGGTAGGAATCCCATCATTTTCCTCATTTTACAAATAAGGAAATAGTGTTTCATTATTATGCCAGGTACTATTCAGTAAGCACTTTACAGATATTCATTTATTCCTCTAACTCCATGGTTGGCAAACTGCGGCTCTCAAGCCACATGCGGCTCGTTGGCCCCTTGAGTGTGGCTCTTCCACAAAATACCACGGCCTGGGCGAGTCTATTTGGAAGAAGTGGCGTTAGAAGAAGTTTAAGTTTAAAAAATTAGGCTCTCAAAAGATTTTTCAGTCGTTGTACTGTTGATATTTGGCTCTGTTGACTAATGAGTTTGCCGACCACTGCTCTACCCATATGAAGTCTCCCATCTCGGAGACGGGAAAAGCAGCAGAGAGGGGTGAAAGCTCTAACATCACAGGATGGCGTGTGAAGTCCGAGTTCTGGCTTAAGCCCTCCGACGTCAGAGCCCGGCCCTCACCGCTGGCCTGTCGCACCGAGCACTTGCCGTGTGTCGGGCCCCGTGCTGAGCTCATTGCATGATTTCATGTCAGCCTTCAAAACCTCAGGGAGGGGAGAAGAGGCTCCAGAAGTCAGGAGATGCAGGCTCAGCCCGGTGAACCAACTTGCCTGAGTTCGTGCAGCTGCCCAGTGCGGGATCCCGCGGCTCTTAACCTCCCGCTCTCTGTCGCTACAGAACCTGAAGGCGGCCAACACGGACCCCACAGCCCCGCCCTACGACTCCCTGTTGGTGTTCGACTACGAGGGCTGCGGCTCTGAGGCCCCCTCGCTGAGCTCCCTCACCTCCTCGGCCTCTGACCAGGACCAAGACTACGACTACCTGAACGAGTGGGGCAGCCGCTTCAAGAAGCTGGCGGACATGTACGGGGCTGGCCAGGAAGACTAGGCTCCCGTCCGGGCCGGCGGGGCCCAGGACTGACCGTCAGGCTCAGCTGCATCTTCAGAGGGGCCCAGCCCCCACCCCACCCTCAGCCAAGGACTCTGCGCTGCTGAGAAGGGGCCTGAGCAGCTCGGAGGGAAGAGGCCTCGGGTCTGACCGCGGACGGGTTGATTCTCGGCCCTTCCGACGTGGGCCTTTGGACTCCAGCACTGAAGCCTCGTGGAGGCTGAATTTTCGGGAGTCTCTTCCCTGCCGTGAGATGCTCAGCCCTGTGTCCCGACGCCCCAAGATGCCGTTCTCTCTGGAATGGACCTTTCTCCTTAGGAAGAGGCCTCTTTATTACACGTCGGGGTGTTTTTTTTGTTGTTGTTGTTTTTTTAATGCTATTTTTAAAAAGTTAGAGGCGGGTCCTCAGCGGTCCCCTGGCGCCTTCAGAGCCCAGCCCAGAGCTGCTGGGCTCTTGGCCTCACCCGTTTCTCTTTGATCTCGAGGCCCGAGGCCGCCTAGTCGGAATGGATTGCTGCGTTTTTTATACCGAGCGTGTCTAGGTGCCCTTTATTTTTATTTTCCCCATGGAGTGCTGTAGACGAAGGGTGATGACAATCGGGCAAATGTACTAGAACTCTTTTTTATTAAAGGAACTTTCCCAGAGGTGTCGGGGGAGCGAACTCCTTTTTAAAGTCGTTTTATTGATTCACATTCGCATACCACTCACCCGCTTCAGTGTAAAATCCAGAGGTTTGTAGGCTTCTCAGAGCTGTGGGAGGGGAGTGAGCGCTCTTAACCCCGCGGGCGCCACCACAGCTTCCCCCACTTTGTAGAGGAAACTCAGGGGTCCCTTTCACAGGCCCAGGTGGGGACGAGCCTGCTCTCCTCCCTGTGGGTTCCAGCTCCCTCTGTGTGAGAACCAGTTGACCTCCTGACCCCTGAGCTGAGCCCCACCAGGGCTGCAGGGACATCACGTCTTATGGGGCCCATGTACCGCGTGATTTCCTCCACGCCATGGCTGTGTTGAGAGACGGGTTGGATGTGTGTGTGTGTGGGGGGGGGGGTGGCTGTGCTACTTCCTAGCATCACTTAACCTCTACCTGCCGCAGGTGTTTCATGCATAGAGATGAGGTGGTCCTATGGGGGTAAGTGAATTCATGTCTGGCACAAGGTGCTGCTTGTGTTCATTGGTAACGGCTACCAGTTAGTCCCTTTTTAGGCCTGGACAGCACTTACCTCCAATGATTTCTTTTTTAAAAAATATATTTTTTTATTGATTTTTTTTTTTTTTTTTTTTTTTTTTTTTTTACAGAGAGGAAGAGAGAGGGATAGAGAGTTAGAAACATCGATGAGAGAGAATCATCGATCAGCTGCCTCTTGCACACCCCCTACTGGGGATGTGCCCGCAACCAAGGGTTACATGCCCTTGACCAGAATCGAACCTGGGACCTTTTCAGTCCGCAGGCCGACGCTCTATCCACTGAGCCAAACCGGTTTCGACTGCAATGATTTAAATCCATCCTTGCAATCACCCTCTGAGGGGATTTTCCTCCTTTGGCGAATAGCCTTATTGTATTTCTTTCAAATGACGCCTGATCATCCTCAAAATCAAGCCAGACAGAAAGAGAGCTCGCTCCGCATGTCACCGAAATCGAACACTGCTGACAGCGCCCAGGCGCGGGTGCAGGGATAGGGCTGAAGAGGCGGCAGGCCGAGAACCAGGCACGTGGGCCTTCGTTCAAGCAAAATGTCAATGTTTTCTTTGCAACGAACAGACAGGATAGACTCTGGAGTGAAGCTGAAAAGGTGGCTGACGTGGAAATAAATGTTTCTTTCCCGCAAGAGGGACCCTCTGCAAAGCAGAGGTCCTTCCAGTGCAGGCCCCGGGCCCCCAGCAGCTGCGTCACCTGCAGAATCAGACGGCAGGCAGGACCCTGTCCGCTGCTTTAACAAGCCTTCCAGGTGGTTCTGACGCAGGCGCGAGGTTAGGACCAAGGCTCTGCAGGACGAGGCTGAGGGTGCACGGAAGCCTCAGACCCAGACCGTGGATGGGGAAGTGAGAAGAGAAATACGGTAAGAAACCTCACTCGTCGTCCTTGGTCCTCAGCCTGTGGCCCACAGTCAAGGCTGCTCCCTGCCTCTCCCCCTGCCTCTCCCCGAGCTGCTGCCTCTGGCTCCTGCAGCCTCAGATCCCCCTACACCAGGGCCTGGCTGCTTTTGCTGATAAGGTTGTTTGGGAGGATTAAGTGTCTCAGCCAGCAAACACCTGCTGCCCCTTATCTTCAACTCCTCTCCGGGAAGCCTGAATAAAGCCTGAAACCCTATCTTCAGCGGAGACTAATCCTAAGAGCAAACAGCCGCTGTTGGGGCTGGCCGGACTCCCCTGAGATTTTTGCAGGGGGTCGAGGAGGAAAAGGGGCCTTCCTAGCCTCGCCTGGTCTCTGGGTGCAGCTAGATTCCCCGAGCTGTTGGAACCGGTCGCCAGCCTCGGCGATTCGGAAGGGCTAGACCTGGACTCTGTGAAGGGTTTGGGCCTGAGGTCACTCTCTCTCTGGGCCTGCTTCTTATCTGCAAAATGGGATCTTCGGCTTAGTCTTTGGGGCCTGTCATAAGTCAACATAGGCCACCAGTGCTAACCACTCCGAGTGGTGCCAACTGGAACCAGTGTGACCATCTCCCAGGGGCCACCTGAATGATTGATTTTCTGTACCTTGAGTATTCGTTATTCACATTTTGTGGTTCAACAGTTGGTAGTGCATCCTTCCAATCTTTCTCCCTATACCTTACCAGGGGAATTTTGCAACCTATCTTCTCCTAACAGGACCTACAGGCAGGCTGCCTTATTGTCTCTAAGACATCCAGTTTAGATGTGTGAGCATTGATTTAATCTCACCACCATCCATGAACGTTATTGATTCTGGTTTTTTGCCTTTGACTCTGTTAAACTCCCTGGAGCACCCATCTCTGCAGCTGCTTCAAAGCCAGTCTTCCACCACCAACTAGGGTCGGGTGGGAGAGACCGTGGTCCTGGTTGGGATCAAGGCCGCCTGATTCTGAATGGAGGGTTCCATCGAGGTTGATGGCTTGGGGCTGACGGACCCCTCAGGCTCCTTCTATTAAATGCCCCCACACCCCCATCTTCATCCCACAGACTTTTAACCCAAGTCCCACAAAAAAGGTAAAGTGACTTAGCTGGAAGGAGTTGGGGTGCTCAGAGACCCACCTCATAGCCTCTTCCTCTCAGTTTTGCTCCTTAAGAGCCCCCCAGTTGAAAGCATTTTGAAGACGCCCTCCAGGCTACCCCGCCATCTTTCAGGTGGCAAAAGGTAGAGGTGCTAAAAGTGGTCTCCCAAGACCTCTAGCAGGGCAGAGGTGGACTGGGCCCAGGCCTCACTTCTCACGTGCCTTTCCCCTTGTGGCTGACCTGACACTTAAAAAAATATATATATATATATGTGTGTGTGTGTGTGTGTGTGTATATATATATATATATATATATATATATATATATATATATATATTATTTTACAGGGAGGAAGGGAGAGGGATAGAGAGAAACATCAATGAGAGAGAAACATTGATCAGCTGCCTCCGTACACCCCCCACTGGGGATGTGCCCATAACCAAGGCACATGCCCTTGACTGGAATTGAACCTGGGACCCTTCAGTCCCTAGGCCAACTCTAGCCACTGAGCAAAACTGGTTTCGGCCTGACACTTTTTTTTTTTTTGTACCAAAGAGGTCAGTCAACCTGGGAAGCCCCTCTGACAGCCCTTATGTCCAGTTCCAGACTCAGTGGAACTCCATGGGGCCAGCTCCCTTGGGGCTGAAGGCAGAGCCTACCTCCCACTGTAACAGTCCACCAAGGAGCCGAGGTTCAGGGCACAGTTCAAATCCCAGCGCTTCCACGCAGGACACCTTAGACAATTCACTTTACCCCCCTGTGCCTCACTTTTCTCATCTGGGAAATGGAGCGATAAATGAGTTAATATCCGTAAAGTGCTTCAAAGGTGCCTGGCATACAAGTGCTGCGTGGGTGTTATCACTACTGTATTGAGGGACTGATGGTCAGTAAGTTCCTTTATCTCCACTCTCACACCCACCCTAAGCCATACATTCCCTGAGGCCCTTCCCCTCACGCCCAGCAGAGGGCACCATCTACCTGAACTACAGCATGGCTGGCGAGCCTCCCAACTTTGCAACCAAGAGAGGGAGAGATGGCCGGAAGGGAAGGAGCCCCAGACAATACAGTCGCTGTAGCTGCCACACCCCAGATCCAGAGTCAGCTGTGTGTCAGGAACCACCTTGGACACTGGTGATGAAATTATAGGTGGTGCCCTTCACATGTCCGGAAGGAGTTACACACACTCTCCCACTCCCAACCCTGGGAGAGAGGATGTATGCTTCCCTTTTTGAGTAGAAATTTAGGGTCAGAGAAATTAACGACCATATGTAGCCAGGAAGTGACAAGACAGTTTGGGGGTTCAGGTCCCCTTGATTTCCAAGTATGGGCTCGTTTTACTATCCTAGATAATAAAAGGATAATAGGCAAATCAGATGGCAAAGTGACCAGTCGCTATGATGCGCACTGACCACCAGGAGGCAGGTGCTCAATACAGGAGCTGCCCCTGGTGGTTAGTGTGCTCCCCCAGGGTGGGAGGGGGTGGGAGGGGAGGGCATCGCTCAGCCAGAAGCTGGGCTGACGGCTGGCGAGGGCAGCTGCAGTGGCAGGATGTCCGACTTCTGGCTTAGGCCCGCTCCCCACCGCGTGCTCCAGGGAAGGCCTTGTTGAGAATGTGTCATTTAAGCACAAAGACGGGACAGTTTTGGGGAGCAAGTGTGCCCCTATGTCTGGGCACAGGGACAAGTGGAAAGGCCTGAGGCAGGAGCATGCTTGGTGGGGCTCAGCGGTGTAGCAGGGACACCCCTGTGGCCGGAGCAGAAGGAGACAGAGTGCAGTGGGAGATGAGATCAGACAAGCAAAGGGTGGGGCTCGGGGTGCCTGGTCCTAGGCCTCA